GATCCTATTTGTAGGAAATGTCCCAAAGTTTGCAAATCTATAGAAACAACAAAAATGATCAGTGGTTGCCTCGAGCCAGGGATGGGGATGGGGAGTAATGCTAATGACTACAATGGGGTGGTGAAAGCAGTTCTAAGATTGTGGTGATGGTTACACAACTCGGTAATTATACTAAAAACTAGTGAGTTACACACTTTAAATAGATAAACTTTACTCAGTGTAAATTATATCTCAATGAAGCTGTTGAAAAGTGGCGGAAAGGTACAGTCCAAGGAGACATTCCTTCGGTAACCCTGCTTTACAGGTATAGGAGGTATATCCCAGTTTTAAGTTCCTAGTCTTTCACTGTGTGACGGCCCGTTTTTAAGGTGAAAATTTTGCAAGGACCCCAACATGGTATATATGTACCTTTAGTTAAGAAAATACATAATGGCAAAAAGCTATTACACATTTAGTAATTGGTTTAAATGAATTAATACTTTATTAATCCCAATTGCATCTTCACATGTTAGAAAAATGGTCTGTGTTTGTGGAGGGAGCATGCTTGTTGTGCCTATAGACAGGGCTTTGTGGCCTTCTTTCAAGATCTCCTTGGCCCTTTGGGGTCCTCAGCCCACAGGTGTAGAATCCTGATCCATGCTCTACCAAGGTGTGTTTGCTTCAGCTTCTCCATCAGGTGAATGATGATGGGAGGGCGGGCGCCCATTAGCAGAAAATGTGGTACAATCTTCACTCCATGATATTTCTGCCTCTTCAGCTGCTCAGCCAAAATGACACCATTTCTCCTCCCAAACCAGTGGGCTTTGCTGAGAGCCGATCAGCAAGAAGACAGCGGAGCCACGCCGGTTGGCAGACACTCATCTCTAGCTAATGTAATTAAAGGCAGCGGCAAGCAAGCGCCTATTAATTTTTCATTAGAAAAAGTCAAAGGCAACCTTCTTGGAAGACAGCATCATTGAACTTCAACTTTGGTAGTTAAAGCCAGGCTTTCCCCCACCAGGTATATACCCCTCCCATGAGTACACACACACACACACACACACACACACACTGAGTCCACGGCCTCTTTATTGAGCATAGGAGAGAGAGTCAGAGACCAGCACACCCATACTCTTCAGAAGTCCTTTTCTCCCACCCCTTGTCTTAAATGACCCCAATGCCTACCTATCTGCACATGCAATTGACTATATATGGACCTTGTACAATATACTGCTGTCTCCCCAAATTGTGTTTCTATATCATTTTTATGGTTTGAACCCTATTTTAGATGCCCTTGGGGCGATTACTATTCAAAGCTCTCTCTGGTGAATCCTTTTGTAAAGAAAACACAACACTCCCTTATAAGCCTGGAACAATGTGGTCAGGTAAGAGGGGGCTGGGGGCTGGGAAGGATGATCTGCCCCTAAGAGCTGTCTCCGTATTGGTAGGCAGGACCGGCTGAACTGGCATCCTGCATCGGTCAGCTCATCTCTCCTTTCCGCCGGTGCCTCCTTCCTAAGGCGTCCCACCTGATAAGAAAAGCCTTTCCACTCAACCCTCAGAAGGACTGAGGGGAAGAGCGCCAGGCTTGGGGTCAGAATACCAGAGGCGCCACACCAGCTCTACCACTTTCTATCTACGGGATGTCCAACAAGTCACAGGTCGCTTCACCTCTCTGAACTGGAAGGGTAACAGTGCTCTGCTACCCCACTTAACAACCGGAGGATCTAGACAATGGCGTGAAATCTTTTTAAATTATTCACCCTTACATAAAACGGGAGTCGTTCTTAATAATAGCGATTTAACAACTTAGTTCTTAAGAAATTCAGATGTTCATTTAAGAGGTTAGCATGGAGTGAGGCACATGGCTGGGTCCCAGGCTCTTGCATGCATTTATAAATGACTGTGATAAATACTTTTATGTCTGTGCGGGTTGTGTACCAGCTCCTCTGTAGTCTGGGAGATCTGCTCTTTCATCTCTGCGGTGTTCAAAGCAGGGCCCCCAGGGCCCTGCAGATACGGCGCTGTTCTCAAAGACAGCCCCCCTTTCGGGACTCTGACAGCCGGCAGCCTGCCTGTGCCCTCCTGCGGGCGTGGGTGGTGATTAGAGGCCTGCGAGAAGCTTGAGTGGTGCCGAGTGTTCTCTTCTCAGCGGCCACTCTGTTTGGCCTTGGAGTGGTCTTGTCCAGCCTCTGTGTCACTGGCTTTGAATCTGTGGGCTGGCAAGCCAAGCCGTGTTAGGGATCGTGCTGGGGCTGGCTGACCTTCCCCAAGCCGGGATAATCTCTCTCCCTGGCAACAGACAGAGGCACCAAGGGACAGGGACAGATTGTGAAATCCTCGGGTAGGGCTTTCTAGAATTACTTAAAAAGAGAAAATGGTAGCAATACCTTGCATTTGTATAGTGCTTTTTTAAAAAGCAGTTTTTAAAAACGATTCAAGGAGAAGGCAGCTTTGGAATTGTCTGGTAGAGAGCAAACCAGAGGGGTAAGAAATGTATTGTCTTAGTCTTATCTACTCAATAACATTGAGAGTGTTGGGAGAAATCTTTTTTTTCTTTTCTTCTCACCACAGATGGGGATGCAGAGGAAGGAAGAAGTACAGTGACTTGATCAATCTCTTACAGCATTAGAGGCAGAATTTGACCTAACTTTCTGGACCTTTTCTTGTCAACCCCAAGCAAGCAGAGAGTATGAAGAAGTTGAATGACCTAACAGGTTGCTTTGTCCACCTGAGATTCTGGCATATAGACACCTCTTCCTGAGTCGGGCTTTGTACGTGGTCCTCTTCAGGCAGACAAGTAGGTAGGAATGAGGCATGAGAAAAATT